GCTGTCTGGCGAGTGCACGTGCCCTATAGTGAAAATCTCTCCAAAAAAAAAGAAATAAAAATAAAAAATAAAAAATGTTGGTGGGGAACATTTACCACTGTCCAGATGGAAATGAGGGAGCAGCAACTCTGAACAGAGAATCCTGAGACTTAGGTTCTGTGTCTGAGTCCCCGCAGCAATGCCCAGGCCTCTGTGTCTGAGTCCCCGCAGCAGCGCCCAAGCTCCATGCTCTCCCACACAGCCCTGACCATTTTGCTTTAAATTGCTGCCTGCCTCTCTCCCTCTCACACCATCCCTGAATTCCTGTCTCCTGTTCTATCCTCGCACTCACCACTTTTAATCTATTTGAGTGCCGTGTATATTGGCGTTGTGTTTCTAGACTGTGAGCTCCAGGAAAGCAGAGACTTGGGGAAATTGTGTCTCTCTTCATCCCCTGATGTCTCCCAAGCACCTGGAGTGCTTGACACATGGTAGCTGCTAAGGAAACACTTGCTGAGAGAGAAGGGAGGGCAAGGAAGAGAGAAGAAAGAATCCTCCTAGCAGACTGAATGTGCTTAGTCTGAAATGAGGGGTTCGCCAGACGGCTTCTACGTCTCCTCCAAACCTAATGTGTGATTCTGAAAACGACGCAAACTAGGATTATCACGACAGCGCCACCATAGGGATGAGGAAACTCAAACTCAGAGGACCAGTTCCTCTGCTTATAAAGTGGGGGTGCGATGAACCCGTCCACAGTCCCAAAGAACTGAGAGAATCAGGAACACGAGAACTCAATAGGTCCTACCAAGTTGTGCAGGCCCCGCTGGCATTTCTTTTAAGGTTTCTGCCATAGGGCATGTGCACTCTCCAGAGAGACAGTGAGAGGGAAAGTGAGAAATCACCCCCTGGGGGAATGGCCGTGTTGCAATCCTTTCTCTTCTGTTATTTTCCCGGGATCTTGGGTACACACATGCCCAGCATGATTTTCTTCCCTTCTTCTCCTTCTTCTCCTCCTCCTTCTCTTCTTCAATTTTTGCTATAGGGTATGTGTGCTCACCAGAGAGATAGAAAGACACAGACAGACAGAAAGAAAGAAATCTCCCCCAGGGGAGATGCCCATGCCATAATCCCTTCTCCTCCATTCTCCTCTCGGGATCCTGGGCATGCACACACATGAATCTGACATGAGTTTAAACCGCTGGGTCCAGGACTTGAACCACAGCTGACCATGTGGGAACCCATCCATGCAATCATTATGCCATCTGCTAGTTCTTGCCAACAGGTTTTTCAAGTCACCAGGCCTGAGACTTGAACCGCAGTTGGCCATGTCCAATGCCTTAACCACTACACCACCTGCTGGCCCCGAGGCATGCATTTTAACCACTGCCATTGCGAGTGCAGATGACCTGAGGTCCAGACTGATGTCTGAGCTTCCTCGGGCCAGTGGGAGACCAGCAGAAAATCAAGGCAGAATCAAGGCATGAAACCAGCTTCCTCCAGCGAAGAGCTCCAATTTGGCCACAGGACCCTCATGTGCTTTGGTGCAACACCCTCCATCCCAGGATCTCCTGCCTCCCCTCCCTGTTTTCTGCACCAGCCCCGGGCTTTAACCCTTCCAGACTGAACTTCCTGAAGACAGACCTCCATGGGCTTTACCTTCTCTCGCTAGAGCTCCCAGCACAGTCTGTCCCAAGCCCGCTGAGTCCCAGGATGTACTCTCCTGTCTGTATTAGGGGCCCTAGGAGCCCAGGCTAGCAAGGGACACACTCCTCCCCTGCTGCCCCCCATTCTGCCTACAACTGCTGAGACCTTGACAGCTGTCAGTCATCGGGCCTGGCTCAGAATCAGAAGTAAATGAGAGTGGCTACAAGGGAGCCCATGGATGAAGGAGCACGGAGGGCAGTAGGGCAGCTCTATCTAGAGGTAGTTTAGGATAAGTATGCAGGAAAAGTCAAAAAAATGAAACAAGGTCCATATGGGCATATTCTGAGAAGGCCTCTGAAAGAGGTGACCTTGGGTTGCTGCTGAAGAGGATTTCAGTGAATGGAAACGGGATAGTTCAAGAGGTGGGAATGTGTGGAAATTTTTCAGAGATGCAGAAGAACGGTGGAGGCTGGCGTGGCTGGAACAAAGGGCGTGTGTGGGGCAGTGGGCCAGCCTCGTGACAGGCTGGAGGTGCCAGATTCATCCTGTAAGTGGCAGAAAACTACCAAAGTCTTATGCAGCCAGCTACTTAAAAGGATCAGTATGGAAGCATGGGCTAGGTGGCTGTGTGAGCCAGTGGGGACAGAGGGAGGAAGGGAGGGATGCTGCTTAATGAGTAGGCAGAAGCCAGTGCTATGGTTAGCAGGAACCCCGACTCCAGGCCTGAGCTCACCACTGACAGCAGAGAGGATCCCCCACCCACGTTCTGTGAAATTAAATAATGCAGTGAGATGATCTCTGTCTATCCTCCACCCAAACACTATGATTTATTGATCTTATGCCAAGCCGCTTCTCAGACTCAGAACTGCTCTTGGAATGCAGAGATGGTTTCTCGTGTTATTGAAACAACTGGTTCAATTCTTCTGTGACTACAGCAATTACTTTACAGATAATTGCAGAGCTAAATTGGGTGATGCTTTCCCTCTGCTGGGTCAGGAAAGGCAAATAAGTGATTTTTCCCTTCAGTTTTAATATTTTTAGTTCATATTTATGACCCACCTAACACAAAAAACGTTTTTTGTTGTAGAAAATAAAGAACATCAAAGGGTGGTTAAACTAACAGAAAAAAAGAAAATGAGATCAGAAACATTTAGGAAAGATAGAAGGCACGCTAGAGATTAAGAGGGCATGGAACTTGGCTCTGAGCTTCCCAGCAACCAGAGTGAAAACAGCGTAGTAGAAATTGTAGTTGGGTGGCCTCATTTCCTGAAGTTTTCTTACTCCATAGTTAGAGTTCTGAGGAGATCACATATAGAAAAATTGGGATGATTGAGCCAGGCCACTTAGCTTTCTTTTGGCCCATGAGTACACGAACAAGCTGCAGAGGCTACCAGGTAACTTAAGGCTTGTCAAATTCAAATGGGACACTAAGTCCACAGCAATAATGTATTGCTCAAGAAAAGCCAGGAGCTAACCCCATAGCCTGTGTAAGGGAGCCAAATCCCACACGGCCAGGTGGGATTGTGGGGTTCAAATCCCAACCCCAGCATTTTGAAAAACATGCCAGGCACATGTGCATGTATGCCAAAATTCTGACAGGACAGAAACACGAGTTGTGGCATGGCCACACCACTGGAGGATTCGTCCCCCGACTCCCTCCTTCTGATGAGTGCACACACCCTCTGGCAATGAGAGCGAGATGCTGACAAAACAGGCACAGTTCTAATTCCTGACCTGGTCAGGCTGAAACACGCCAGACACCCACACACATGCTGAAAATTCAACAAACTGGAGGGCTGGAGAAATGGGGGTCTCAGAGCAGCTAGACTCAGCAGAGGGTGCTCATCCCCCTCCCAGGCTTGTATGTAAGCACTACAGCTAAAGAAAAGCACTTTAAAGAGAAAAAGGACTTTGCCCAAGAATTCATGATTTTCTAGTATGGGAATGGGGACAGCTGGGGGACTAAAGGGCACTGCTAACCCAATTTCAACAGGTTCAGACAGTTGTAAATGGTGTCTGTGGCAGTTCCAACCTCATGCTTTTTTTTTTTTTTTTTTTTTTTTTTTTTTTTTTTTTTATTTTTTTCTTTTTTTCTCCCAACCACAAAATTGTTTTGCTATAGGGCACATGCATTCTCCAGAAAGACAGAGACAGACAGGCACGCACATGCGCCCGGCGTGAGTTTTAAGCCACCGGGTCCGGGACGCGAACTGCAGTCGATTACGTGGGGGTCCAGCAACATAGCCATTATGCTAACCACTGGTCCCCCAACCTCATGTTCTTTTGCATGTGGCTGTAACCCAGGATGAGGAAGACCTCAAGTTCTAAACTTCACAGAAGCAGACTGGGACCACAGGGTTTGGAATCTCCCATCTCTGCCCCAAACTGGCCAGGCAGGCGAAGCTGTCTCCTTCCCAGATCTGCTTTCCCCTCAGTAAAGCAAAAGGCCCTTCTCAGTAGAGCTATAAATCTGAGATGAACGAAATCCCAGAGAAATAACAGTTGAGCCTGTCACCCAGTCAGGTTGTTAGTACACTTACAGTTCTGAGAAGTGGAGTACCTTACAAACAAGTCTTGTCACCCATCAGAAATCTCAGGAACTCAAGGGGAAGCTCAGTTACAAGCCTTCCAATCTATAGACCCTAGCTCTATCCTCCAGAGCCTGCAGGTTAATCCTGTTTCCACAGGCAGCCCAAGGAATCAAAAACACCACCTGAGTTGCACTCTGGTGAACCAAGAGTGAGTTCACTGAAGGGAAAGACCAACTTTCCTCTATTCTGCTACAATGCTTAGCCTAGAACTTTGCCCAGGCCCTAGTAAAGTTTTAAGAAGAAATTCTTCTTGAACAAAGTACAATTTATAGCAAAACAAAACTGCCTGCCAATGGGACAAGTGCCAGCATTGCCAAATACAGGCAAAGTTAAACTGTGCCTTGATTTTACCTCTTTATTCTAAAAGGTTGGCATCTGATGGCCTAGTTTAATTCCACTAAAGGACCAACATATGTGAAAGTGCTTCCTAAACGGTTACTATGGCGAGTGGGCAAAGTCACTAATGACATCTCTATTGTGTCATCTTGGAGAACCACCTTCACACCTTGCCACACCGAGTCCCTCCACCCAGGATTGTCAGAAACCTAAGTTTTCTCTATAAATTCTAGATTATACCTGCTGTGTAAAGGGCTAGGGTTGAACTAGGGCTAGTAAGGAAAAAGCTGAGTTGCATCATTTAATTGCTATTTATTTTCATAAACATGAGGTATTTCAAAGTGCTATTAGATGCAGCACTAAATATATACATTTTGAAGGAATAAAACACAGAACTTTGCATTTACCCAGTTCTATGCACCAAACATGAACAAATACATTAACAGGAAGAAACAGGCTAGGAAAAAAGGCATATATATATAGTAAATTTCTTTACAAAAGTTTCTTAGTTCCAAAAGTGATAAAGTAATATCTACTCAAAACTTTCACAACTCATTTTCATACGAAAATATAAGTATCAAATTTAGTTATGTATCAGCATCATACTAAAGTATACAGGCAGTGTAAGAATTAGTACAGTACATAACAGAGATTAACAATAGATTTGTATACAAAACATGCTCCTCAAACATTGAGGTATTATTACAGTACTTAGGTATGAACTTCCAGTCTAATACTGGCCGCAAAATCCACCTCTCATTACCCAGGACGTATACAAAAGGCGGGTGTGTCAATGGTATTTACAGAAATGTTCCCCAGGGGTATCAAATGGCAACCCCTTGCATGGCATCTGCTGGAACTTAAGCACCATTTTAAAAAGAAGGAATGACTTTCTGTTGTTTGGAAACTTGAACAAGGTGACTTCAGCAGCCCCAGAGGCTCCAATCCTCACACAAGTCTACTGCTGTCACGGAGGCGAGGTGGAGAGAACCAGAAGGGCCACCCGGCATCCCATCACGCAGGCTCTCCGAGGTCCTGGCTGAACCCCCTACATGTCCTGCTCCCCACCCAGATCCAAACACGACAGGGGACCGATTTGAAAGTAAACCAACATTCTTAATGTCAACACAATGTTTGTTTAAAAAAAAAAAAATCAAAATGTGCAAAGTGGCAGTGACTGTCCAGTTCTGAGCAACGTTTAGCAAGTCCGAGCGTGTTCGATTTTCTTTAGCAACTGCTGCTGTCTCGCCTGCAGTTTTTCCTTTTCCAGCAAAAGCTGGTGCTCCTCAGCCTGAAGGGAGTGGACGTACTCGGTGGCCTTTTTCAAAATGACCACCTTGGCGGCCTTCTCGTTCTTCACCAGCTCCGGCACGTGGTCCCTGAGCGTGAGGAAGCTGGACCGCAGGTCATTGCGGCGCTGGCGCTCCAGGATGTTGTGGTTGCGGCGACGCTCGCTGTCCTCCGAGTCAGAGTTGCGGGGGCTCAAGCTCTTAGCCTTTGGGGGGATGACATTCTTGAGGGGACGTGGGGACACCTCGCTTTTGATCTTCTTCTGGGGAGGCGCATCCTCACTCTCCACGTAGGGAGACGGGGCGGCATAGTTGTGCTGCTGGTGGATGGGGACACAGCGTTTGAGGATCAGCTCACTGGACGGGGCCCTCCCTGGGCCCAGGGCTCCGTTCTTGGGCCGCACCGTGATGGTGAATGTGGTGACAGCCTTGTTGTTAGAGGAAGAACGCCGCTTCTCCACAGTGACAACGTCGATCTCCTCCTCTTCGTCTTCCTCTTCGTCATCTTCATCGTCTTTGGAAAAAAGCAAGAGGCGTTACTCTCATGCAAAACACACACCCTGAGAAATAGCAGTTTCTGACAGTGTGTGCTATTAGGCCACCAACATGGACCTGGGCAGAAACATGCTTCTTTTAGGTCTCTAATGGGAGGAGGTGGAGAAATACCCTCTCCTCCTACCTGTCTTTTCAGTCACCACTCAAAACTTTAGCAGGTAAAGAATATGAAGAACTGGGGTGCTTTGGGGTCAGGCAATCTTGGCTCCATTGGAGTAGCTTCATAACCCTGGGCAAGTCACCTAACCTTTCAGCCTCGGTTTCCTCAGCAATTGCATGGGGCGATGTTTATGAGTTTGACAGATAACATGTAGACTTAGCACAGAGGTGGGCCTAGGAGACAGATGCTCAGTAAAGGTAGATTTTCGGTTTGCCCTGTAGGCTTATTTACACGATCTATCTTTACCCTTAAGAACTGTAGCTCCTCCTCTTAGGAGCCTCATTTAGCTGCTTACACAGGCCAGAGTTTGATTATAAGTATTTTAAAAACTTGAGAAACAATTTAATCAACTAAGGAAGAAAAATAACTTTTCTCCCATGAGCTGGGTTTTTACACAGTAAGCAGTTTGTCATCCAACAAAGATGACTCTTCACTACAAAGCTGCTCGCTACAGTAGCTATAAACCCTCAAATGGGAGCAGCTCTCAAAGTCACCGACAACAGCCAACAATAAAAACGTGTAGCATCGTGTGTGCACGTTAACCTCATTTCCCACCGTGCTGGGATCGAAAATTATTGTTTAAAATGCAAGCATGAAAATCAAAACACATCTTCTGCTCCATCTGAAGGGGACCGGAAAGCTGAACAATTGTGGGATTTGTTCTAAAGCCGAAATGTAAGGCTGATCCAGTCTGTGGGTCCCTTTAAGCCAATGTTTTGGTTTTCTGCCAAGAAGACAGCTGTTGGAAGGAAGTGCTTCCTCACCGAAAGCTGTCAAGGCACAGACATTAAAGGGACAGACTCTTTTCTAACTGAAGGCTTATCACCAAGTTTTCTTCCAGGAGCCTGAGAAGGATCTGTCCTCAGCCCGGAAGGAAACTTGGGCTTGCATACACCTGCACTCTGAAAATACTAGTTGTCAAGGTTCAAGGAGTCTGCTCCCTGCTCCAACAAGGGCTATTCTAGGATTTGGGAAGGAGTCCTGCAGTTCTGGAGCCCAGGCAAAAGCTTGTCTCCCTCCCCCCCCTTCAGTTTTGGACACAAATCCACACCATCTAACTAACCCATGAGTCCTCCCAGGGTGCCAGTGCTCCCGGACGGGCTGCTAAGAGCCGCCCCTTACTTTCCAGGAGCTAACAGAACAACTCGGTCTCAGATGAGGCTTGGAATTCTGGACCCAGTTTTCCCTGCACACTGGGAAAAGGAGGCCCCTTGAGAATGTACACAACCGCTGTCGCCCTTGCCACCAGCTGCTGAAGCTGGGGAGGGAGGGGTGTCCCCGCCACCCACTACCCCCAGTCTTTCAGATCCTTGGC